ATTCAATTCTACTTTAGAAAGCTTATCCTCTCAGGGACTGGTTAGGAGTTTCTCCTAGGTGTTCCCGTGTTGTGCTGTGCTCACCTCTTTCATGTTTATCACACTAAAATTTTAATTATCTTCTTATTTATTTATTTATTTTTTGCGGTACGCGGGCCTCTCGCTGTTGTGGCCTCTCCCGTTGCGGAGCACAGGCTCCGGACACGCAGGCTCAGCGGCCATGGCTCACGGACCCAGCCGCTCCGCAGCATGTGGGATCTCCCCGGACCAGGGCACGAACCCGTGTCCCCTGCCTCGGCAGGCGGACTCTCAACTACTGCGCCACCAGAGAAGCCCCTTAATTATCTTCTTGAGGTGAGTTGTTCTACACTAGATAGTTGAAAACCTGAGTTGCCTTTAAATGCATCCCCAGGAAAATGGCAGTATGAGGAGCCCTATGGACTTACTACCCCGTGAAACAACTATAACTGGTGAAAATTTTAGACAACAACAATTTAAACTTTCTTGAAATTGTTTGAAGGGAATACAGCAGATGAAGAAACATTTATTCAAGAAAACCTACTAAATCTTGTAGGAACAGCAAGAGTCAGTGGCACCTGAGCCATGACCTGCTGCCTCCCCCACCCTGCTCAGTATGACAAATCTCCGCTCTGGGCGAGCATGGCCAAGAAAGTGGAGCTCACTCTTCCCCCAGATCTCAGTAAAAATGCTATGGATCTCCCTGGGAGAGCCAAGCTGCCAGCATTTCTCATCCTCCTTAGCTTCATGTTGCAAACGTTAAATTCCAGATAAGTATGTCCTACAGATTGGAGAGATTAGGAAGTCCTTTCTTCCTTTCAGACACTGTTCATAGGACAGAGGCCCTATCCCAGATTCAGGAGGCTATGAGTGCTGGGACCCCAGTCACCCTTGCCCCAGCTCACATGGGGGTTCTACGCCAGGAGAGGCAGCTTGAGAGGCAGAAGCTAATGCCCCCTTCCAGAACCCTGCTTATAAAGCAAGGGTATCACTCTGAAAGACATGGCACACAGTCCCCATTCCCAGCTTGAGCATTGGCTCAGAGATTTTTGCCCAGGGGGAGAGAAAAGTCCACTAAAACAGAGAACTCTGAAGTTCTCCCCAGAGGAACTGATTTTATTTGGAAGAGTGTGAGAAAATTCAAACTTCAAGGTGCTCTTGAAAACAATGCATATTTTGGTGGCAAGTAATTAAGAGGAGGCTGGTAGCTCCATGCAGCAAGAAGCTAAACTGCAGACCAGCTAGTTTACCAGAGAGAGCCCGAGAAAGAGACAACTAAGAAGAGCCCTCTGGGATCAGAACAAACCTCAAGACTGCATTCAATGGCCATCTCTGCAAAGGAACCTAAATATAATTGAACTCTGAAGCAGTTCATGCCCCAGGACATTGTCAAAAGCAGTAGAACATTGTCAAAAGCAGTAGAACAATCAGCTGGCATTTAGTGGAGTCTACTAGCTGGGTGTGATACCAAAAGAGGCAGACAGCTTAACAGAAAGACCAGGGCAAGAGACAGTCAAAGAGAGCCCTGCTAAAACCACTATCATCACACTGTGGCTGTGTGCATAGGCTCAGGGAATTGATCCACATGCAGGAAAAATTATAAAACTTTATTGATGATGCTAAAGATTACTTAAATACTTATAGGATAGGGAGACTCAGTATGATAAAAATGTTATCCTTCTCAAAGTGACATGGATTTAATGCAATTCAATCAAAATCCCAATGGTACTATTAGAGAAATTCGACAAGTTCAATTTAAAATTTATATGAAAAAGCAAAGGTCCAAGAACAGTCAACATACTCTGGAAGAAATATAGCAGAGGGAGGAACACTCCCAAACTCATTCTACAAGGCTACCATCACCCTGATACCAAAACCAGACAAAGATGTCACAAAGAAAGGAAACTACACGCCAATACCACTGCTGAACATATATGCAAAAATCCTCAACAAAATACTAGCAAACAGAATCCAACAGCACATTAAAAGGATCATACACTATGATCAGGTGGGGTTTATGCCAGGAATGCAAGGATTCTTCAATATACACAAATCAATCAATGTGATAAACCATATTAACAAATTGAAGGAGAAAAACCATATGATCATCTCAATAGATGCAGAAAAAGCTTTTGACAAAATTCAACACCCATTTATGATAAAAACCCTCCAGAAAGTAGGCATAGAGGGAACTTACCTCAACATAATAAAGGCCATATATGACAAACCCACAGCCAACATCATTCTCAATGGTGAAAAACTGAAACCATTTCCTCTAAGATCAGGAACAAGACAAGGCTTTCCACTCTCACCACTATTATTCAACATAGTTTTGGAAGTTTTAGCCACAGCAATCAGAGAAGAAAAAGAAATAAAAGGAATCCAAATTGGAAAAGAAGAAGTAAAGCTGTCACTGCTTGCAGATGGCATGATACTATATATAGAGAATCCTAAAGATGCTACCAGAAAAATTCTAGAGCTAATCAATGAATTTGGTAAAGTAGCAGGTTACAAAATTAAAGCACAGAAATCTCTTGCATTCCTACACACTAATGATGAAAAATCTGAAAGAGAAATTAAGGAAACACTCCCATTTACCACTGCAACAAAAAGAATAAAATACGTAGGAATAAACCTACCTAAGAAGACAAAAGACCTGTATGCAGAAAACTATAAGACACTGAGGAAAGAAATTAAAGATGATACCAACAGATGGAGAGATATACCATGTTCTTGGATTGGAAGAATCAACATCACGAAAATGAATATACTACCCAAAGCAATCTACAGATTCAATGCAATCCCTATCAAACGACCAATGGCATTTTTCACAGAACTAGAACAAAAAATTTCACCAATTGTATGGAGACACAAAAGACCCCGAATAGGCAAAGCAATCTTGAGAAAGAAAAACGGAGCTGGAGGAATCAGGCTCCGGGACTTCAGACTATACTACAAAGCTGCAGTAATCAAGACGGTATGGTACTGGCACAAAAACAGAAATATAGATCAATGGAACAGGATAGAAAGCCCATCGATAAACCCACGCACATATGGTCACCTTATTTTTGATAAAGGAGGCAAGAATATACAATGGAGAGAAAACAACCTCTTGAATAAGTGGTGCTGGGAAAACTGGACAGCTACATGTAAAAGAATGAAATTAGAACACTCCCTAACACCATACACAAAAATAAACTCAAAATGGATTAAAGACCTAAATGTAAGGCCAGACACAATAAAACTCTTAGATGAAAACACAGGCAGAACACTCTAGGACATAAATCACAGCAAGATCCTTTTTGACCCACCTCCTGGAGAAATGGAAATAAAAATAAACAAATGGGACCTAATGAAACTTCAAAGCTTTTGCACAGCAAAGAAAACCATAAACAAGACCAAAAGACAACCCTCAGAATGGGAGAAAATATTTGCAAACGAAACAACGGACAAAGGATTAATCTCCAAAATTTACAAGCAGCTCATGCAGCTCAATATCAAAAAAACAAACAACCCAATCCAAAAATGGGCCGAAGACCTAAACAGGCATTTTTCCAAAGAAGATATACAGATTGCCAACAAACACATGAAAGGATGCTCAACATCACTAATCATTAGAGAAATGCAAATCAAAACTACAATGAGGGGGCTTCCCTGGTGGCGCAGTGGTTGGGAGTCCGCCTGCCAATGCAGGGGACACGGGTTTGTGCCCCAGTCCGGGAAGATCCCACATGCCGCGGAGCGGCTAGGCCCGTGAGCCATGGGCGTTCGGAGCCTGTGCTCCGCAACGGGAGAGGCCACAACAGTGAGAGGCCCTCGTACTGCAAAAAAAAAAAAAAAAAAAAAGAAAAGAAATTTCAATACCATTTGAATAAAGTTCAAAATCAACCACAACTAAACAATATATTGTTTAGAGATCCGTACACGTGTGATAAAATATTTACAAGAGAATGAGAAACAAAATAAAGTGGTCATTACCAAACTAATGGCAGAGGCAGGAGAATAGGTTAGAGGAATTTAGAGATTGATGTGATCGGTGTTGGTCATGTTCTGGTTCCTATACAGGTAGAAGGTACATACGTGTTTGTATTCCTGCTATGCTTTTTACTCAGACATGTTATGTAAGTTTTCCTGTAATGCATATTATATAAAATTTTTTTTTACAAAAGATCAATATCAGGAAAGTTAAGTGAGTTGAACCGCATCTACAGACAGAAAGCCCTTGTGTTTTTTGGATATCTCTCCTTAAAGAATAAGAATAGCATAACATGCAATCAGAGAAATAGTGAAAGGTACAAAATACTACTTGATAGCTAGCTCCTGAGAGAAGCTAGGAAATGGTGCGTACACACAAGACCAATTCAACCAAATAATCAATTAAGTATATATAAAGCCGATACAGTACTTTCTGCTAAGTACTGTGCTAGATTGTGGTGGTGCTGGGGAGATGTTTAGAAGAGCTTCTCAAGAGTGGCTGCAGAAGACTGTCAGCGATACAACGAGAGCCACACATTAAGCACCGTATTATGTGGGTACAGTCTGTAAGAGAATTAGTCCAGTCTGCTTCTCAGTAAACCCTCTTTAGATCCTCTTTCCCCGTGAGGGTGGTTTGAGGTTAGGAATTTTTCCTCCTTAGCTGTAAAACTTGACTTCTGTCAGTCTAGGATTACTTTAAAGGAGAGGGACAGTAAGGGTAATATCGATTTGTATAAGCTACCCTCACGTTGACCTAAAATCCTTCTTGGGCTCACAGGCCACTTGAGATGTAAACTTCTCTACTGAAATTAAACACGTCCATCTTACTCCTCTAAGACAGCTGAGCTGCTGAAAGCAAATGCGACAACGCAAGGGCAGTTAACATCGCGCGGTATTGGGCCGACCCGGCTGGAGGTGGAGCTGCCGGGGCCGGATATAACGTCACGGGGCCGGATATCACGGAGGGTGTGTGCGTCCTGTCGTAGGGGGCGGGGCTCAGAGCCTGGTTTCCTCGGCTACCATCGGTTGCAGGACCGCGCGTGGCGTCCTAGTTTTGCAGCTATGGGGGCTGCTGCAGGTTTGAAGGCAGACTGCGAGGCGCTGCTCAGCCGCTTCCAGGAGATGGACAGCGTACGCTTCGAGGACTTCACCGACCTCTGGAGGAGTATGAAGTTCGGGACCATCTTCTGGTGGGTGTTTCTTGTCCACTACCCGCCTGCCTCCCCGCTCAGAGGCGGCGTGACAGGTTTCTTCCTTCCCCTTCGCTTCGCCGCACCTGGGAAGGGCTGAGAAAAGCGGCAGTCTCTGAACACTGCCTCCATGTCCCCTGAGCTCTCACTTGTACTTGGCCGCGCGCTTCCCCTGGGCGATTTCGTTGGCTTGGGTTCCTTCCATTTGCGGCCTCCTCCCGAATACGTATACCTCTACTTGGCCGCCCTTCTAAACTCTTCTACCTCCACTGCTTTACCCGGACCTAGGTCACCATCTTTTGCCCTCCTCTAGTCTCGTTTTCTTAGAACTCCATGTTTAAAAACAAAAACAAACGCACAAGCAAAGACAAAACCCTGCATGATAGATTTCATTTTTCACACAACCGCCGAAGTTCTAAAGTGCAAATTTGCTCACGTCACATCCTTGCTTCCCACTCTTCAGTGGTTTCCATTGCCCTTGGGGTGCAGCGCAAATTCCTTAACATGGCTGGCAAGACCGTTCGTGACTGGCCTCTGCCCATCGCTGCAGCTTCATCTACCAGTCCACTCCATGCACTCGCTTTCTTGCTGCAGCGTCTGCACGCGGCCCTCTACAGGCGTTTCCTCAGCCTAGAGCTTTACCTCCAGCTCCCTTTGCCTGGGTACCTTATTCTTCACTCAGGTTTAAGCCCACATGACAGTTCCTCAGGGAAGGCCTCCTTTGCCCTTCTAGACTAAATAAGGTGTTCATGCTCTCTTTCTCTTGTAGCACTTTGTGCTTATTTTATCGCTTGACATTTTTTTTTTTTTTTTTTTGCGGTACGCGGGCCTCTCACTGCTGTGGCCTCTCCCGTTGTGGAGCACAGGCTCCGGACGCGCAGGCTCAGCGGCCATGGCTCACGGGCCCATTCGCTCCGCGGCATGTGGGATCTTTCCAGACCGGGGCACGAACCCATGTCCCCTGCATCGGCAGGCGGACTCTCAACCACTGCGCCACCAGGGAAGACCTATCTCTTGACTTAACCACATTTTATTATAAGTGTGTAGTTCAGAAGGCAGTATAGTGTAGTGGTTAAGAGCATAGATAATGGAGTCCAACTGCCTGAATTTGATCAGAGTCCACTAACTGTGATTATATGGTAAGTGCACTCTAAGTGCTCAGTAAATATTCACTGTTATTATTATTATTTTTAAATTTACCTTCCACTAGATTGAGCTCTGTGAGGACAGTGTCTGGATGAATCTGGCATTTCATTAGCATAATACTTACAATATTGAAAAGGCTAAATAATTGACTGAATGAATGAGTCCTTGTGATTAAAACTCTGTGTTTTGCTGAATAAAATGTAAACATTCTCTCTTTTGTCTTAGTTGATGTAAAATAACTACCTGTGTAGTTTGTACGTTTGTAGGGGATGGAGAATGGAGAACTGTTTGTTGTACAGTTAATGAAAGGAGAGGAACTAATTTTTTTTAATGGTAGTAAATGTAATGCATTTATAGCTGTATTTAATCCATAGAACAACTCTGAGATCAGTAATTATCCTTGTTTTATAGATGAGGAAATTGAGGTTTAAGAAGGTTAAGTAATTTCTCCATGATCACGCAACTAGGTGGTAGAGTAGATATTGAAACCAGTGTGTCTTACTGTTTCTGAAACCCATGATCTTTCACTGTATCCCTCTTGGGAAAAGTGGTAGTTTAGAAAAAATTTTCTGGGGTTACCCCAATTCTTTCTTTCTTTCTTTCTTTTTTTAAATTTATTTATTTATTTATTTTTGGCTGCTTTGGGTCTTCATTACTATGTGCAGGCTTTAGTTGCGGTGAGCGGGGGCTAATCTTCATGGTGGTGCGCGGGCTTCTCTTTGTGTTGGCATCTCTTGTTGTGGAGCATGGGCTCTAGGCGCGCGGGCTTCAATAGTTGTGGCACGTGGGCTCAGTAGTTGTGGCTCGTGGGCTCTAGAGCGCAGGCTCAGTAGTTGTGGTGCATGGGCTTAGTTGCTCCACGGCATGTGGGATCTTCCCGGACCAGGGATCGAACCCGTGTCCCCTGCATTGGCAGACGCATTCTTAACCAGTACGCCACCAGAGAAGCCCCCTACCATGGTTATTTTATATATTAAATATTTTAAATTATTAACCAGTGATAATTTATAACCCCACTCCTTTTGCTCCCAGTTCAGCAATAAATTTGATGCTTTAGGAAGATGCATCATGTTTACCTAGTGTCTCAGTGTAAGAAGCACAGCAGAACATTAGGTCTTCGTGCTTAAATCATGAAAGGATCAGATGTGGAATGCCCATCCACTTTCTAGCAGCTGCTATTTAAACAAGTATATACCTCTTCTGTTATTTTTTTTCACAGCCATAATATATTTTCTCTTTGTTTTCTAGTGGTAGAATGAGAAATTTAGAAAAGAACGCGTTTACAAAGGAAGCTTTGGCTTTGGCTTGGAGATATTTTTTACCTCCATACACCTTCCAAATCAGAGTTTGTGCTTTGTATCTGCTGTATGGATTATATAACACCCAACTGTGTCAACCAAAACAAAAGGTAATATTCGGTGAGTTGTTTTCTTCCAGCAGAAATATGAAACAGGTACAATATTTTCACAACCAGCTGATTTAAATAGAAATGCCAGTGCTTCAAAATTATAATACATTTGTGAAAAAAGATTTACATTTACTAACAACTTTTTTATTCCTCTTGTTTGCAGATTAGAGTTGCCGTGAAGGATTGGGATGAAATTTTAAAATTTCAGCAAGATTTGATAAATGCACAACATTTTGATGCAGCTTATATTTTTAGGAAGCTACGACTAGACAGAGCATTTCACTTTACAGCAATGCCTACATTGGTATGTTATCTAAAATAGATTGTTTCTCAAAATGAGAAATTATGCTTTATTGTCCATAAAGTACCTAAGTCTCCAGAAAGTGGAAAGACTATTATATAGTTTCCAATACTCGAAGAAAGGCTTCTTAAAATAGGAAACAGTGTTGGGGATTCCTGGCAGTCCATTGGTTAGGACCCTGCGCTCTCACTGCCGAGGGCTTGGGTTCAATCCCTGGTCAGTGAACTAAAATCCCACAAGTTGCGTTATTTCAAAAGTCTAACAGTCTTTGAAACATGGATTATTTAATAAATATATACTTAGAGCTGCTTTTTTTTTCATCCATGTTTACTGATAGACAGTTTTTGCTGCTGGCTTACTTATTTCAGTACTTAAAATATATCTTATAAAAGACATCTATTTTAAAGACATTCATTATTATTTAGCTGTCATACAGAATGAAGAAAAAAATTCAACGACCTGAAGTTACTGAAGACTTTAAGGACCCAAGTGATCATGTAATGAAACTTATCACTTCTGATGTACTAGAGGTAAATTTGTTCTTATGTTCCTGAATTTTTTTTAAAAATTGTTTTATTAACTACATATTGAGGTTATACCTTCATCTACTGGATACTGAAAACTTTTCTAATGCTTTTAACCAATCATAGAATGCTATTACTTTCTCTAAAGTGTCAGGAATGTTACATCCTAAATATATCAAAATTTCTGGAATAAATCTTGAAACACAGTGAGAAACAGAAAGATGTAGAAGACTTGTCTCAGACTAAGGATATTTAGATTCAAATACTGAAACCACCATTTGTATTTGACTTTAGATAGGTCATAAAACAAGAATTTAGTGACATTATTTTTTTTAATAATATGTGTTCATTTCCTAAGTTCCTTTTTACAATGCTTGTGTAAAAACCCACCACTGAAAACAGTGAAGCTATTTCGATGAAACGAAAATTTGAAGTCAAGAATAATGGATAACATGCCGCGGAGCAACTAAGCCTGTGCGCCACAACTAGTGAGCCTGCGCTCTAGAGCCCACAAGCCACAACTACGGAGCCCAAGTGCCACAAATACTGAAGCCTGTGCGCCTATAGCCCGTGCTCCGCAACAAGAGAAGCAACGACAATGAGAAGCCTGCGCACAGCGATGAAAAGTAGCCCCCGCTCATCACAACTAGAGAAAGCCTGCACACAGCAACGAAGACCTAACAGAGCCATAAATAAATAAATACATTTAAAAAAAAAAAAAAGAATAATGGATAAGGGGTACGGTCTTAAAACAGCTTTTCCATCTCATATATTTTGGTATTTTATTTGAGTGAGTTGTGCGGTGTTGAGAAAAATCTTCTTTTGCATTGATAAGTAGTGATACAGAGTTTTACCTGAGAGGAAATGTTGCCCTGAGGTTAAAACAAAACCTCACTAAAGGGCTGCAGCCTTCTGATCAGTGATCCATTCTCTTTTCAAAAGAATGGATTCATACGTACACAGAGAGTGCGCAGAGCGAGCGCGAGCAGCTGGGGGCCTTAGTCATGTATTTTTCATTTCTTTGAGCCTTAGTTTCCCCCTCTTTAATATTAGGATTGCAACCCTTATTTCATCCAGTTGTAAGAATCGAGACCAACTTGTACCTGAAGAGTGCTGAGTGTGGCCTATAGCACATAGTAGACTCTTTTTAGTAAATGTTACTGCTTTTCCCCTGAACCCTGTTCAGTCTTTTCCTATATCAGGAATGAAAGAGGGATCAGATCTTTGATTTGCTCAAATGCTTCTCTGTGTTCTGGGTGCTGCCGTGTTTTAATAACTTCAGCCGTTAGGTTGCATCTGTGATTTTCTAATTCAGATAGCAAATTGATTTTTGAAAGTGCTCTGGGTCTGCTCTGTATACTGACTTTATTTTTGAGCAAGAATTGCTAATCTGGGGTCCATGGATGGCCTTGAAAGGTTCATGGATCCCTTTCCCCCCTAAATTGTATTGAAAATTATTATACGTATGGACACTTGGTTAGGGTGAGGTACTCTATCCTCAGATTCGCAAAGGTATTCATGTCCCCCCAAATGGTAAGAATTACTCAGTTAGAGGGAAATCGTTTGCTAAATATCTAAAGACATGGTATAGTGCAGGAGCTCTACAAGATGTTTTGTGTATATTATTTTACTCCTTAACATCTCTGCAAATTAGGTGTTTTAAACAATTTAAAATTTTTTGTTAATTTTTTTTTCAAGTAGGTGTTTTTATCCCTGATTTAAAGTTGAGGAAACTGAGACACAGAGACATTAAGTTAGGAAGTGATGGAGCTAAGGTTCTCTATGGCTGCAGTGCCTGTTTGTTGGATAGCAAAGGCCTTGTCTGAGCTGGGACTGGGGTTGGAAATATATCATTTGCAGACATCTCGTGAAGTATAACAAGAATTAGGATCTTTGCCCTCTAGCAGCTGAGCAAGAAAGAGGTGGGAGAAGATTATGTAGAAAAATAAATGTGAGAAAAGAACTTTGTGTAATAGAAGGAATTTGTATTTTGTCTTTTTGGCAGAGGGGAATCATTTAGAAGTTTTAGAGATTGGAGAGACTTAGAGTGTATATTTAGGTTTGGGGTAAGGAGCCAGTTAGAAGGAGGGTTTGTGTAGAAGAGAAGCAGCACAGTCCCTGCTGTGAGGTGGTGGGTCTGTGACCAAGAGCCTGATGGAGAGATTAGCCTTGAGCAGGAGAAGGCACTTCTTCCTTTGAAACCTTAGGGAAGGAGGTGAAAATGGATTCCTATAATTGGTTGTGAAGAAGAGAAGTAGAAGGCAAACAGACCCGATAGCCTGAACTTTAAGAGGCCTCCTGCCAGAACCAAGAACTGAGAAAGTTTGGAATAGCCATCACGGAGAGTGAAAGATGCTGGGATACCAGAAAGGATTTGCCAAGAAGTACTGATGTAAATTATAAAGAGAGAGGCAGAGAACGTTCTATAACAGTAAGATGTTGTTCTTATCAGTATTCTCCCAATGAAAAGATAATTTGAACCCAGTTGGTTGTAATTTTTGATTGTTGACTAATTTAGTGGTAGAATGTTAATTTTTTTCAACATACATTGCTAAACTTTTTTTTTTTCTTCATTTTAAGCTCTTTTACTACAATGTGTTGAATTAAAGATTCCTCTGTTAAATAAATTGTATATGTCGGCAAGCAGGTATGGGAGATTTTAGAGAACAGAGCTGGGGTGATGCACAAAGCCATATCTTTTAGGGTGATTTGAGAGGAGGGTCAGAAGGGCCAGGCTATGAAATGCCTATTCCTAGAAGCTTCTAAGAATGGAGTAGTCTGTGTGAAGTCATCCTGACTTTATCTGGCATCTTTATCTTTGGTAGCCTTTTCCTTCAATACCTGTGTTGGCTTTATTTGTCCTGTCCTAGCATAGCCCATGACCCATTTTCACTGATAATCCCTAAATTTAATACTTTTCTGTTTTCCTTCTACTGCCTACAAATGCTATTAAGTCTTCACGTCAGCATACTTGAATTCTGGTCATGATTCTGCTGCTCATTAGTTCTCTTTTGTGGTTAAGGAGGTATAATAAAACAAGAGAATAGGATATTGAATCAAATTATCTGATTTTTTTAAAAAATTGAGGTATAATTGATATAACATTATTTCAGGTGTATAACAGAAGGATTTGATATTTGTATATATTGCCAAATGATGACCACAGTAAATCTAGTCAACATCCATCATCATACATAATTACAATTTTTTTAAGGCATCTGCCTTCTAATTCCAACTCTCCTACTTAAATATGACGTTTAGCAAATCATTTCACTTTTGAATCTGTTTCTTCATTTATATTTACAATTATATTAATGGCATTACATGTTCAGTATTCACCATGTGCCAGGAGCTATGCTGAATGTTTTTTGTATGTTATCTCACCAATCATCATAATAACCCTGCAGAAGAGATAGTATTTTTCCAGTTTTAAAAACAAGGAAACTGAGGGACTTCCCTGGCAGTCCAGTGGTTAAGACTCTGCACTTCCACTGCAGGGGGTGCGAGTTCGATCCCTGGTCGGGGAACTAGGATCCCACATGCTGTGTGGCATGGCCAAAAGAATAAATAAATAATAAAAATTAAAACAAGGAAACTGAGGATCAAGAAGTTGAGTAATTTGCATAAAGTAAGACACAGACACTGGATTTGAATGTCCAGGTGTGTAAAGCTCCAAAGCCCATACACTGTCTTTTATTTCTTAATCCTTTGATTTTGTATAGTGGTTTACATCATACAGAATGCTTCCACTTGTATAAGCTCACTTAATACTTTTATAGTGCATTAGGCGTCGTTACTTCATTTTGTACAAATGTGGAACGTGATTCTTAGACTGAGGGATTTGCTCAAGGTCACAATCTAGCAGGTGACGGAATTCAGGCTCAAAACCAGGTCCAGCTAGTGGTCTTTGCCCTGTATTGTAGTGCATGTAAAATAATGGGAATATAGCACATTGTACCATGTAAAAAGTTAGGGGCTTCCCATGTCTGGACACTCTTCCCCCTTGAAGATCTTGCATATGTGAGCATTCGCCACTCCTGAGCAGTTTTGAATTGCTTGAACAGATATCGATGGAGTCCGTCAAAATCTCCTAGAAATGCATTGAGTAGCCTATCTTGGGGATGACTCAGAGGTTGTTGACCATCTGTGATGGATAGTTCTCTGCTGGTCTGTGAGCCAAGTCCCAGTGCTGGTTTTATGTGATTCTTAAGTCCGCCTGCCATATTTATGCTACCTTTCTCTTTACCCTGTATACCTGCCCATTTGTCTGGAATTTTCTGGGGGAGGAAGATCTAATAAATGATGCCTCAAATGGTGTCATAAATCACTATTTCATTTAATCTTGAATCTTATCACTGAAGTAATGAGGAAGCTTATGGGGACAGGCACAGAGCTTTGAGATTTGTGAACGTCAGCCCATCTCTGTGGAGGATTGGGAGAGAGTCATTAGATAGGAATTTCCAGCTGAGCATAAAGAACTGTGTAAATATCCTTCATGTGACAATATGAAATAAAAATGTGATCTTAGTTATCAGGAGCAATACTTAAAGGTATGCTATACTATAAATAATTTTTGTTACATCCAGGAATGCAATCTTATATTAACTAGTCTCTCCCCATCGTTTCTGCATACAGTGTGTATTGCCTAATGTTTGTTGAGTTGAACTCAATGATTCCATGCTTCTGGAAAGCAGACTCTTCATTAATAATCTTGTACTAGTTTGCATAATTATATCATTTTCAATATACTGTAGTATGTTATTCCTTCTCAACTCTGTCACTTTGGAAGGTGATTTTATTTTGTTATGGTTTTGCCTTTAAGTTTCTCCGTGAAAATTGAATTAAAGCACTCATCGTTTCACTTTTAGGAAATGCTGAATGTTCATGACCATTATCAGAGAATGAAACATATAATTTCAGCTGATAGATCCAATCCAGACAAAGCCCTCAGCTTGATAAAGGATGATTTTTTTGACAATATCAAGAACATAGTTTTGGAGCATCAGCAATGGCACAAAGACAGAAAGGTTTGTAACTGTTTGATATGTCACCTTTGCATTTGCATCATACGTGACTGGCTATACGTGACTGAGGACGTTGAGAGGCAGCCTTGCTTAGTGGCTACCTCCTGTGAAGCTAAGATCTCGAGTGCTTTACTTTTTTAGTATCAGCTTTGCCAGTTATTAGCCATGTGGTCTTATTTAATCTTACAAATGGATTTTATATGTAATTATATAGCATATTATTAAATAATTATAATTAATCATTGTAATTCTATAATATATAGCTAAATGATATCCATTATACACTCACACGTACACTATGTAGTGTACATAATTATAGAGGAATAAATAGTCTTGGTGTACCATGGATTTATTACAATCTTTATAATTTAGCATTCTCCAGAGGTTACACATTGGCAGTCTTTGGGCCAAAGCCTGCACATACTTTTTTTTTTTCTTTGCATAGCATTGTTCCTAATATTAAAAAAATTTGAATTAATTACCAACATTTAAATATTTGTGGACTTAACTTAAAATTCCAGACATCCAACTTCTGTTAAAAGTGGGAGGTTTGGTAACACTGGTCCTACTTTGCTGCATGGCAGTGGACAGCTAGACTTGAGTGATGGCTTCTCCCATTGTGACAGAGCATGTGCTTTCTGTTTCTCACGTGCTCTACCTGCCTTCCTTTATCCATTTACAAATCGCATCAACACAAGTCTTCCATTTAGTTTTCTGATCCAAATACTGATGCTAGAACTGCCCATATTCCATATTAGCCTTTTCAGCTAGAGAAACTTTTTTACTCTGGAAACCTGAAGACCGGCCTTGCTAAATTTACTTTTGAAACCACTACTCCATCTAATTTTACTAAATACTTCTAGGAAAAAATAAGTAATTTCTGATTACTTACTATGTGTTTGATAATGTGTTAGTGTTTTCACAAATGCTAGATAGGCATTATTATATAGCATTTTTCAGAGTGATTCGTTGCTACTTTTTGGATTATATAAAGGGAGATGGCTCAAAACTCAGTTTTAGAAAAGATAAACAAGGAAAGTGATGAGATAACAGCCTTGTGAAGAAGGAAATAATTTGCTTCCTCTCCGGACATTTATTTTAATGAGAGCACATTTTAGAATGTTTGAATACTTTAAGTGCTACAAATGGGTTGCACAGATGACCTAGACACTTAACGTAAACATCTATTGTAGTGCTGTCTTTTAACAACTCTCTTTAATGAGCATTACTAAGACCTTTGAAAACCTGGAGGAAAGGAGAATAAACCAGCTTTCTCACTACCACATAAAGTGCATGTCATCTTTCATTAGTTAGGAGGATTTAGGTATTTTCTTGATGAATTTTGTAACTCTTCTTTAACCTAACCACGTTCTTAATGTCAGGTGGTGAACCATGTTTTGATACTGTGAAATATTCTTTTAGTTTTTTAGTAATTAAAGTAAATGGTTTTCATTGTTCTGAAATTGATTTTCAGTTAATTTTTAGTTGGTTTGAATTGTAAATGTGTAAATATAACTTTTTTGATCTTTCAGAATCTATCCTTAAAATTGAAAGCTAAAGATGGAGAAGAAAAGAGTGAAGGAAATTCACAACAGTCAGAGGTCAGAAAAATTCACTATATGATTGCTTATGGGGCAATAGTTCGGTTAGCTTCTTTTCATTTTATGTGTGGCTGTGATTCTGTATATTAACCATAATGTCCCATGGTCAGTATTCTAATACATATCTCAGAAAATTCTGTAACATGGGTTCTATGAAGGGCTAGCCTGTTCTCTGCTGGAAACCTTGTGAAAGACCACATCAGTTATAGATTGGGAGTGGGATGTTCACAGTTTTCAGCAGGGAGAGGGAAGGATGGTGGAGGAAGGTGTCCTCAGTCCTGACAGGGGCAGAGTAAGGCTTTTGTAATACTATGTCTTTTCAGCCTTTCAGCCAGTGTGGAGCACAAGCTACTATTTACTGCTTTCTGTCTCCAGAGTTTTCATCCATATTAGTGCATGAGGCAAGGAGCCATCTTTGGGCATAGAAAGATGAGGAGGGAATGGCCTGGTCACCAGGAATTTCATTCATATCCTCCTTAAATCCTGAAGGAAAGCAATCCACAGCCATGGGGATGTTATCATGGCACCTGTTAGAAAGTAGTGCATGTTTATATGCCTTTACTTAATATATGTCCAATAAATGTTAGTTCCTTTTTACCCTACCTTCTGTCTCAAATCTTATTTCTGATAAAAAAAATACTTGGGAATTCATAATTTCACTCAGTGTTTGTATGTTTTAACTTTTTCCCTTTCCTGTTTATTTTTACTTACAGAGAAGTGAAAGGGCAGAATCATTAGCGAAAATAAAATCAAGGGCCTTTTCAGTTTTTGTTGAGGTAAGTTATTTCTTTAATAAGGTAATTTAGAAATTTATGTGATGCTTTTTTAGTCATGTTTTAATTTTTTCATCAAAGTAACACTTGTGCATAGTTTTAACTAATAATACTGTAAAGTTTATATAATCCAGCAGTCTCCTGCTCTACCACTTCCTGCCCCTGTACTTCTGATCTCAAGAGGCAACCATCTTCACCTTTTTCTCTCTTTTTTTTTTTTTTTTTTTGTGGTACGCGGGCCTCTCACTGTTGTGGCCTCTCCCGTTGCGGAGCACAGGCTCCGGACGCCCAGGCTCAGTGGCCATGGCTCACGTGCCCAGCTGCTCCGTGGCATGTGGGATCTTCCCGGACCGGGGCACGAACCCATGTCCCCTGCATTGGCAGGCGGACTCTCAACCACTGTGCCACCAGGGAAGCCCCAGAGAGATTTCTTAAACTTTATCTTCTGAATCATTATATTGAGTTTTTATTATTTCTGCTGATATTTTTTGATTACTAAGATTTTTTTTCTTGTTCTCTGAATCTTTTCTTACTTAAAAAATGTGTTCTTTATCTTTTTGTTTTTCTGGATGCAATATGCTTATCTGCTTGAGGATGTTATTTAGTTTTTTGAAGTTTCCTCCTTTTTCCCCAGAGTTTTTATTTTTGTTTATTCCATTCTCTGTCATTCATTTTGTTGGCTTTTTTCAAACGTTTGAAGATCCTCAGATCATTAAGAGTGGTCATGTGGAGATATAGCTTTTTAGCCTCCATGCTTTTCTTGGATCTAGTCATTTTTACCAGAGAGCAGGCTTCCATTCCCTTGCCTGGGGGAGGAAAGTGGTAAATAAGCCCAGCTGCCAATGTTTTGGGTGCCTACAGAGAATCTGCCAACAGGCTCACAGTTCCTTCTAGAGGCTTCACTCAACCCACCTATTTCTAGTAAGAGGCTTTATCCCCTTCTTAGCTATACTGGTTTCCTCAAGCCTTCAGCTTCTCTGGTTTAGCCTCTCCAGAGAGCAAGCCTCCTGTTTTCTACAGGAAGAGGTCAGATGTTCAGCTTTGAGGCTGCTAAATGGGATACTATTCCCTATGTAGATTTTTCATATATCTACCCATTTTTTTAGTCCCACTTCTGATGACCCCAATTTCTGATCCACTTGGACCAGCTTTCCTTGTAGACTTCCTCAATACAGGCAATTAGATTTCAGCTTCCTTCATTCTAAGTCAGCCATCACTTTTACACTTGCAAAATTTTGTTGATTTGTTTACAGCTGCATTGTTTCCTATTATCTCCGTTTTGTGAGTTTATTCATTTTTATTCCTTTCCTCTCATTTTAGTGGGGTTTCAGGAAGGAGCACCAATAAACTCGTATTTTTTTCTGTTGTTTTTTTTTTATGAATCTAAAAATGACTTTATTCTGTGGGAAACTACTATCATTCTCTGGTTGTAGAAATAAAAAGGAATAAACGAAAAAATTAAAAGTGACTATAGATTAGTTAAGTGTTATATATTTGCTGTACTACAGTAAATTGAGTACAAAATATTGTTGAATGAAAGCATCAAGGACAATAAATTAATTATTCCAAATTCATTTAAACCAGAACTATTTCCATATTATATAAGCTAATTGTTGTTTAATGTATTTCTTAAGACATTATGAAATACTTTAAAAAATTATTAAACAATTAAATTATAATCCCCATAAATTGTTATGAGTATGTTATTGCATAGTTGTAGTTTTTTAAATTATTGAGGTATAATTAACATACAGTGCATGGTAGCTTTTAAACTGTTGTTAATACCTGCACCACATATATGACATTCATTGAAAACTCCTGTAGTCAGGGCTCTGCTTAAGCAAATAAGGGAATTTATTGACTGATGTAACTAAAAAGTCCTTGTTGGACTGTCCCTCCGTTTCTCACCTCTTATGTTGCTTTCATTGCCTTCAAGTGCGATTCGTGACAACTCCAGCCTTGCATGTTCCCAGCTTTCAGTTCAGTTGATTCCTTTCTAATAGTTAAACAAAATTCTAAAATTGAGTTATATCAGCTATGACACACATCACACACCCACCCCTGAACAAATCATGGTGGCCCTGGGAATGTGAAACTTATTTTGACTAGATCGGGGCCACATGGCCATACGTAGAGCCAGGCATAAAGTAGTTCCATTTGAAGTACATGGTGCTAACTAAGGAAAGTAAAATGTTGTTAGAAGAAAAGAATAGGTTATCAGGTGGTAAAAATGGCGGTACTTGTCCTTTACACCTCCATTTCCCAGCCATGCAACTGCAACAGTTTAACCCAGCAAGGATATTTTAACTCCGTTTGGTCAGATGAGGATGATAGCTGCAGGGAACTCTTCCTGTTGTAAAGCTAAAAGAGTATATACATGTAACAGGTATTAACCAAGCTAGTATCATGGTAAAGTACTTTATGACAAGTATTTCTGTGAATCTTTCATCATCTTTGATTGTCTGTTTTGTTGTTCCCTAAATCACCTGTCAGTTGGGTTCATTTTGCGATTCATTGTAATTAATTGGATTTGCAACTATTTAGGCATCCAAGTCAAGAAGGCATCGTCAGGTCAAACTTGATTCTTCTGACTCTGATTCTGCATCTAGTCAAGGACAAACCAAAGCAACTAGGAAAAGAATAAACAAAGAGACATTGAAACCAGCAGGAGGGAAGATGTCTTCCAGAAACAGAGGTAACTTTTTGAGACTTAAAAAAGGGAAAACAGGTCTTATTTACAACCTCCTCTCACCATGTTTTCTTTATTAAAAAGGATTACTTGTTTAAAAACCTTGTGAGATTTAATATTGAAAATAAATTATTTTAGATTCTTGGAATCTTACTACTGAAAGGGACCCTAGGAGTCATCAAATTCATCATTTCATAGATGATGAAATTTAGGCCCATACAGGTTAAATAACTTGTCCAAAGTGGTATAGTTAGATAGTTATAGAATCAATCCAGAATTATACGGAGCATACTTTATTAGTAATTTTTGTGTGTGAATCAAACTTATGTGTAGAATAAGGTATGATAAGTAATACATTCTATAAACTGTATTTTCCATTCGCTTCAGTAGCTAAGCTGAACCCGCTTTTCTCTTGAAATAGTTTATCTGTAAAATTACTTTTGGTATTTGGTTTTTTTAAAAAATGACTATATACTCAAAAAGTTTAATTTTTAAGCATTGCACAAATAGTATATGTTCACCATACGTAAAGTTGGAATCTGATTAACAGGCTCAGGTGGAAAAAAAGGAGCATTAGAAACATAGTAAATATTTAGTGCCTAATATAAGAAACACAGAGCCACTGTAGCAGTATATGAAGATATGTTATAGCCTTGTAACATATTTTTTTCCTATATTGAGGCAGCGGAGGGAGAACTGAAGTTAAATACCTTTAATACAGTCCAGATATGATCAGTTCCGTAACTTAACGCTTGAAGTGCATTGAGAATTTAGAGGAGATACCACATTTGTTAAGGATAGTCAAGAAATACTTCAGAAGGAGAATGTTTTTAGTTTTCTTTACACAGCTAGCAGATATTGTTAAGAGAACTGTTAGACTAATTTCACTTATAAGTATTAATGAAAAAATTCTAAGTTTTATGTATCAAAAGAATCTCAGATACAAAACAACTTGACTGTGTACATTCATTCTGAGATGCAGGGATGGTGCAGTTAGGAATCTATCAATATAATTTGCCATATAAATAGGTTAAAGGGGAAAATGTGAGTTCATTTTAATAGTTACCCAAGAACACATTTGATAAAATCCAGCATCCATTCTTGATTTAAAAAAATATCCTCCAGATGTAGGGAGTCAGCACACTTTCTGTAAAGGGCCAGATAGTAAATGTTTTAGGTCCAAGTGGAACCTTCATATATTTCTGGTGGGAATACAGAAAGGTATAGTCACTCTGGAAAACTGGCAGTTTCTAATAAAGTTAAACATATACTTACCAAATAACGCAGCAGTCCTACTCCTTGGTATTTACCCAAGAGAGATGAAAACTTATATTCACACAAAAATTTCTATGCAAAAGTTTATAGCAGTTTTATTCATAATTGCGAAAAATTGCAGTCAGCCTAAATATCTCCAACTGGTCATTGTATAACCGTGGTATAACCATACAGTGCAGTACTACTCAGGAATAAAGGCACTACTGATACATGTAATAACATGGATGAATCTCAGTGCACTGTGCTAAGTGACAGAAATGAGACACAGAAAGGGCTATATACGATATGATTCCATTTATAAGACATTCTGGAAAAGGTGAATCTACAGAGACATAAAAAAGATCATTGGTTGCTAGGAACTGGGGGTGGAGGGAGGTGTTGACTGCAAAAGGGCACAAGGGAAATTTTTGGTGTGATGGAATTGTTCTATATTCAATATTTTGCACAACTATGCATTTATCCAAACTCCTAGCTCTGTACCGCATTAAAAATGGTAGTTATATATTAATTCAACCAAAACCAAACCAAAACAGAGGATATGAGGAAAGGATTGATTAGTTTTGATCATATTTAAAAAAGCAACTTCTGGTAGATTTTTTCTAAGGTATCAAAGATACTTAGGTTTAGAAACCTGCACAAGCATTTTTTTATTAATTATCCACCTTATTTCTTACAAGTGCAGCCGAGAGGTAGTTGGTCAAGCTGCTTTCTTAAACGTCTGGAAAAGAGTTTTTTTATGCAGTTGAAACGGAGGAGCCGAGTGCAAGCTAGGAAAGAACTTAAATGAAAGTTCGTTTTCATCTGAAATGTTGGACACACGTAACTTATGAAATATCACTTCTTTCACTAGCCATAATTTTTTACTTAATGTAGTTACCGAAAACATTTTCATAAACTCTGAAATTAACTTTTAAGGATGGCTGAGGTTTGTTATTGAATTTACCGAGGTGTATTAGGGAGGGTTTAACCCATGAGAAAGATCACTAAAATGTGATCTGAATTAGATCCTTAATCGTAACTCAACTATTCCAGGTAACCAGCTTTGTCGCTCCTCTGAAGCAGAGGTAATTTGTTATTCTTCATCTTAATAAAGATTCAAGTGCTGGGCTTCCCTGGTGGCGCAGTGGTTGAGAGTCTGCCTGCCGATGCAGGGTACACGGGTTCGTGCCCCGGTCTGGGAAGATCCCACATGCCGCGGAGCGGCTGGGCCCGTGAGCCATGGCCGCTGAGCCTGCGTGTCCGGAGCCTGTGCTCCGCAACGGGAGAGGCCACAGCAGTGAGAGGCCCGCGTACCGCAAAAAAAAAAAAAAAAAAAAGATTCAAGTGCTTACTAAAAAGTTTCTCTTTAATTAAAAGTTCATTCCCTCAAAGTAGAAAAGTATTTTTGATTTCATAGATTTTTCAAAGAGAGGTGTCTTATATTCCATAAAATGCAAAAGATCTTGTAAAACCATTTGCAGCACCTAAGATTAATGCTAAACTTTTTAATTTTAGGAGAGCTGTTATAAATTAGCAAGAAAAGGACCACCACCCTTTAGAAAAATGGGCTGAGGTCATGAACAGGCAATTCATGAACAAAATGTGGTTACCATGCATATGAAGAGATATATAATTTCATTAATAATGAAAGAAATGTAATTTAAAACATGATTTTCATGTAATTTGTTATATTGGCAAAGATTAAAGGTAACTGAATACCCATTGATAGTGAAAGTGTGAGGAGGTAAAATCTGAATGAGTGGGAGAATGAATTAGCACATCCTTTTTAGAGAGCAATTTGAAATCATCTGTCAATTGATTTTAATCAATTTTAAATGGACATGCCTTCTAACTTAGCAATTCAGTTTCTAGGAATTTATCCTTTACAAATGACAAAAAACACACAGGACATTCATTGCAGGATTATTGACAAAGACTGTTAACAACTCAAATGTTTAACATTGAAAAAATGTTTAACGTTGAAAAATCCATATAAAGGAATATTTAAGTTATTAAAAAGCTGGAGAAAGTTCTATATATACTGACATGAAAATATGTCCAAAATATATTGATACATTGCTTAGTGAAAGTGTTTTTTGAAAGAAGAGTATGATTCATTTGTTAATAAATATATATGTAGACGCAAAACTATAATATAAAATAGATAAACCACAAGGTCCTGCTGTACAGCACAGGGAACTATATTCAGTATATTGTAGTAAACTGTAACGGAAAAGAATCTGAAAAAGAACAATATGTGTGTATATATATGTATATGTACATATGTGTGAGTGTGTGTTTGTATATATACATAAATAAATTGAATCACTTTGCTGTACACCATAACATTGTAAATCAACTATACTTCAATTAAAAAAATGTAGACAGAAGTACAATATATATCATTGAAGAAATCTAGAAGCATATAACAATGATTAATTCTCAAGGATGGGAAATTTCTAAGTCCATAAATTTCTGTGTTTGAATTTTATGTGATAACCATATGTTTTGTAATCAGGAAAAACCCAAAGGTTAAAAAACAAACAAATGTAACAATAATTCCTTAGACTAAGGCAAGTAGAGGGATTGGCATGAAAAGAGGCAAGGTAGTTGGAACTATAGCGTGTGAGGGCCTATTTTTTTGTTTTGTTTTGCGGTACGCGGGCCTCTCCCTGTTGTGGCCTCTTCCGTTGCAGAGCACAGGCTCCGGACGCGCAGGCTCAGCGGCCATGGCTCACGGGCCCAGCCGCTCCGCGGCATGTGGGATCTTCCCAGACCGGGGCACGAACCCGTGTACCCTGCATCGGCAGGCGAATTCTCAACCACTGCGCCACCAGGGAAGCCCTGAGGGGCCCATTTTGCCTGGAGCATAAAGGATGTGTTGAAGAGTTACTGTTAACGTGGAAAGATATGTTGAGGATTATATTGTGACCAGGCCTTAAATGTGGAACCAAGAAGTTTGGACTTCATTCAGTAGGCAGAGGGGAGTCATGTGAGACTTCTGAGCAAGCAAGTGGTATGACCAGTTTTCTTTGAAGAAAATCAATCTGGGAGTAGTATGGAAGGTAGGTGGGAACAAACTGAAAATAGGAACACTAAATAAAAGGCTGTTAAGGAGTAATGAGGATCTGGCCAGGTGGCTGTAGGAATTAGACAAGCAGATTAACAGGAAAGCCAGTGGATATCTACAGGTAACCAAATATTTAGGCTGGTGGAGAGGGATGAGACAAAGATGCTTAATGCCTAAGCAACTGGGGGATGTTGTGACTTTAATAGAATAAGGATCACAGAATGAAGATTTCATTTGGGGGAAGAATTTGCCCCAATCTGCCTTTTTAGGCTCAATTTCTGTAACAGCTGTCTAGCACGTAAATAGGTGCTCAAGTATACTGATAGGATTTACCCAAGTTTGTATTATTTAAGGCTTCAACTATACCTGTTCACCATTCCTAGAACATAACACACATGCTTCTGGAAGAACATCAGTAATAGTAATGGTGATACATGATGGTGAAGATGATAACAGCTATTATTTATGTAACGCTTATTATCTGCCGAACTTTTTTCACACGTCCAAGGTCACCTAACTAATAAATAGAGCTGAGACTTGAATGGCAGTCTGTTTGAATCCAAGTCTGAATCTTTAACTGCCATATTTGCTGTCTCTCGGGTAATTGGAAATGTGGATCTGGAGCTCCAGTTAGACACGCACTTAAGTAATTGTTGTATTCTAGCTGCATGTCCTATAGTTGTATGTATTGAGATTGAGCAATTGTCTATTACTTATCATTGCATTCCACATGATTAGCTTCGAGCAGAGTAAAACTATTGAACTGACAGCCTCTGAGGAATTAGTTGTGTGGATAACTGAGGTTAATTATTTAAATGTCAAAATTTACTTTTTAAACGGTTAATTATTCTGGTTGATATCTTTCTAAAACATGCTACATTCTTCTCTCTATGTTTCTTGTTTTCTACAATGTGCATTTATTATTTTTTACATGTATTTTATGCTCTCCTATTTTCTAGAACAATGTATGCTGAACATAATTTAGTTTTCTCTTTATGATTCAAGGTTATCATCATTAGCATGTTATTTTACTGGGTTTTGTAATATAATGATCCTATCAAATAGCTTAAGTGTGTGGGGCAGTTGACCTTTATACTTACGGCTTTGTGCTGCAGGACTTCGTCAGTTCTTATGTTTTTCTGTCACATTTGTTGTGGTAGGTGTCTTCATTCTGTTCTCAGTGTGCAGGCTTGTAACAATTTTTTTCCCTTTTTGCTGCTTCTTAACTGCACTGGTTTTAAGAAATGGGTTTGCCATTGTTCATACATAAATAAATGTAATTATGTTCTGGATAAAGGCCTGAGGAACATATCTGTGACTGAAGTTCATGAGCTTTTATTTAATATGTGGACTTTGAGATAAACATCTTGAAGTTCTGTGGTCACTTCTTGGTTCCTGGCTACGTGATAAGTGGGTGAAGCATTGTATTTTGTTTTTCAGAGCTTTTAGAACACTGATTTCCTTTTTTTTTTTTTTAAAGAAGATGTTGGGGGTAGGAGTTTATTAATTCATTAGTTTATTTTTACTGTGTTGGGTCTTCATTTCTGTGCGAGGGCTTTCTCTAGTTGTGGCAAGCAGGGGCCACTCTTCATCATGGTGCGCGGGCCTCTCACTATCGTGGCCTCTCCTGTTGTGGAGCACAGGCTCCAGACGCGCAGGCTCAGTAGTTGTGGCTCATGGGCCTAGTTGCTCTGCGGCATGTGGGATCCTCCCAGACCAGGGCTCGAACCCGTGTTCCCTGCATTGGCAGGCAGACTCTCAACCACTGTGCCACCAGGGAAGCCCTGATTTTCTTTTTTAAACTTACTCATTTAATGTAGAAATAGATCTCAAAATGTAGTTAATCATCATGTGACTAGATGAAGGTTTTTTTTTCTCAGTGACAGTTTTTAACTCAGAAATCCTTCCCTTGACATTGTTGGATAGATTCTGTTAGGTTGTAAATGTGGATTTAAAAACATCATTAATAGTTGATATGGATGCCCATGGTACAAGATTATAAAGAACAATATTAGTAATTTGAGGTAGATTGTACTGATTATAATCTTGTGAACAACTGAAAAATTTTATAGGTTCAAAATCCACCCCCCTCCACTGCCAAAAATGTGATTAGATATGGAAATAGATTTCCTAAAATATTATCTGTCATCTTAAAAATCATGTAAAAAAATTATTGTATCTCATACTTAGGACTTCCAAGTAAAGGTAAAATTCTATTTTAATAACTTAATGGGAAATTGGTATTATTTTATTAAGTTTGAATTGCATTTAAAATGGAAGTTTATTGCTACAGTTTACTCAATTGCATCTAGAGCAATCTATTCATTCCATAAAATCTGCATCCCATTAAGATCCCAGAATACATGTGTTCAGAGCAGAAAGCTTAAACTCATCTTCATTTAATTTCTTGTCTCCTGTGCTGGCAGGTACTTATTAACATATATACTCTGTGAAATACTGTGTTATAAGATAGTTGAATCCATATTTATAGTTTATTGAGGCTCTAGTATATGGCAGGCACTTTTCTAAGTACTGGGGATACATCAACCTAAACAAACCAGAGTCTATCCTTGTGAAGCTTACATTTACTATGTATTATATATTAAGATATGAGGTGGTGTAAGTGTTGTGGAGAAGCATAAGGATCAAAGAGTGACTGTGGGGGGCGGTTGCTACTGGGACAAGGAAGTTATGTGCTCAGTGAGACCTGATAGGACAACGGTGTTTGATAATTTGATTAGGATATTTCTTCAAGCAACAGAAAGTTGATGTAGAAAACCTCCAATGTTTTGGAAAATGGAAAGTTACTGGGAAATTTTGACTAAGAGAAATATATCTTGTAGAACATATGTGGTGATACAGTAAAGTGTGTCTGCATTCAAAAACAAGGCTATCACGTGGCCTCTTCAAGATCAGGAGGCTGTACATATGTGAAAAAGTACAAATTAAGAACCTGTGTTCATAGACAATCTGAACTGTGTTTGTGAAGTTTGTGCACATTTTCTTTCACTGTAATGTGATTTCACAGCTGTTTGTTAAAATAGTGAATAATTTAATGATCCTAAAAGTAACAGGTTTTGTGTGTGTGTGTGTGTGTGTGTGTGCACTTGTGTGTGTGAGAATTGCCTTATTTTCAGGTTGTTTTATTTAATGATGGTTCCTTGGACAGCATTCTGGTGTTCAGCAACCAATACGGAATATTTGTCATTAAATCCATATCAGTCTTTAAAAAAAAAAAACAGGGCTATTAACTTTAGAATTACATTGGTGATTAATTAATAAAATTGAAGTAATACACATGATTATTCCCTGATGTCTGCAGATATAACCTATGCTGTGTGTGATAAAGATTGAATAATATATCTATGTTTGGCTAATTTTGTTTCTTCCCTTTTCCTGTATTTACTTTAATGGAAGGATTAGAGAGTGTTTTCAAAACACAGGTATAAATATATTATAAATTTATTAACACTTTTAAAAAAGATAGGTAGTTTTATATGCATATTTCTGTTTACCATTACAATTTTAGCTTTTAGTTTAAATATCTAATTTTTGTTATTATAATAATGTCATTATTTATATAAAATTTTTTTTCAAAGATTAGCATTCTTTGTTTTCATATAAAATCATTTTTTCAACTATTTCCAGGTGACATGCAAAATGTACATACGGAAGATAAATCTTTAAGTCTGAGTATGCCTGTAATTACAGAAGAGGAAGAGGAGAATGAAAGTTTTAGTGAAACAGGTACAGATGAAATTTTATCAGACTACTTGCAGAGCATCGTTTAGAACCCTTGAAGAGCATGACAGTTGGCTGTGTGTTCCTGTGATGCTTTAACTTTGGTACATTGGAGAATTTTAGCGTTGATCAGACTGTTAATCGTGACACTTAAAAGTAAGTGATAATACAGTAAATGAATGGATATGGAGAGGCAGGGGTCAGTCCAGGTGAGAGGTGAAGGATAGGGAAAATATCATTATTAGTAAATGAATATCCATAATTGTGATGGTGTCTGAAGTGTATTTCTAACAAAGGGCAAAGGTCACAAAATGTGAATTACTGTATATAACTTTTTAAAAGATTTTATTGTTAAAAAATACTTAATTTCAAATTCTAGTAAATGTAAAATTTTCACCTATGAGATGATTGTAACTAAGTGGTAAATTGCACAACATGAATTAAAATAGCTACATCTTTTTGCATTGCTGTGATCTTAATTTGTTTATAGTATTTGTTAAACAGTAGTTTAAATAATTATTATCTCTAGTAATAATTACAGTAATGTACAGAATAAGTTATACATAGCAGGCTAGGCTTGGTAATTGGTAATCCATCAATGATAATGAACATAATGTATATTAAGAATCTGCCTAATGACTTTTTTTTCATTTTGGCGCTGTATTTATTCAGCAAGCATTTATTGAGTGCCTATTTTGTTTCAAGTGCTTAGGTAGGTATGGGAATATAAAGATATATAGTAGAAGAGTTTAAGGACCATTTTATTTTGATCACAGTGAGTGTAGATCTGAGCACAGGGAGTGGCTCATAGTGGACCTAAGTAACTACTGTTTAATGAATCAGATCAGTCTGTGCCCCAGAGGACCTTACAGTTTAGTGTGCAGAAAAACAACACAGTACCTTGTAGTAAAGAAACAGGGTGCTATGGAAACATATAGAAGACAAAGACAATTAAAAGAGAGTATTTGTTCCTTCAGAAATCTGAGTTGCTTCTGTGATTTGCTTATGTCAGCATAAAACGGTCCTTTATAATCTTGTGAGTTTCAGACTGTAGTTGCTTTCTAGTTTTGTCTGGTAGCTTTTATTGTGAGTAAACAATCAAACACATGTATACCTTTATGGCTGCCTGGCCAGTCCCATTCTAAAATCTATCAACTTGTGAGTTTTAAAAATTTGGTTTTTATTAAATCATAATTACATAAGCACAGAATTTAACAATGAACAGTTTTATAATACTCATTACCACAGACTTCTGACTCTGACTCCCATTTTTTATTCCCTAGAGACAACTCTTTTATAATTATTTTGGTGTTGATCTCCATGTTTCTAAATAACATGTTTATATTGTCACTTATTCACGTTTCAGTTCTATGAATTATCTATTGAGGGAGGCAAGGATTTAGTTCTCCTTAATGTATTCTTTTTTTTCTTATTTGAAGTATAGTTCACCTACATCACTATGATAGTTCCAGGTGCACAACTTAGTGATACGATATTTCTATACATTACAAAAAGATCACCATGACAGGTCTAGTTATATCTGTCACCATACAAAGATGTTACAATATAATAATTTTATGTATTCTTTACCTCCCAATCCAAACACATGATACTTCCTATCACCCACCCTCTCAGTACGGTTATTATTTTAGTTATATCAGTATTCAGCATTTTACAAAACATTATTAGCAGCAGGGCCATGTGATATATACTATGATTCTCCCTTAATCGGAACACTTATTGTTTGCCTTAAAGAGTTAATAATTTTTTTGCCTTATTAATTTGTTTCTTTATGTATTTATCACTAATTTACCCCCCAAACTCTTCCTCAGTGTATAAATCTCCCCTTGAAACACTAGAGCACATTAGGCATTTTATCAGTGTCATCTTCTTAAAAGAAGTCTCCTCCAGGCCTCTGACTTGCTTTACTCTGGACGTCGTTCTCTTGGCCTGCTGCCGCTTCTTTCCAGGAATCTATTTTCTTTTTCTTCTTAATTTTTTCTTTGTCTTTTCTCATTCCTTTTCCTGTCACTCTCCTTTCAGTTTTCATTGGAGGGGAATATTCCTTTCTTTTACGTCTTCCATAATTTTCATGTTTTTGTGTCTTCTGTTATTTGCTTTGTTTTTAATGATCAGTAACTTCTAGGCTCACAGCTGTTTCTAGATGGACACTTACTTGAGTGTTGGTCATGGCATCTGCCATGTTAGCCAAAAAGATGTATGGTACTGCTGTTGTGGGTTACATTTTCAGGTTTAATCGGAAAGCAATTGAAATCTTAGTCACTTTCTTTTAGCACTGGCCCAGATACCTTTCAGCTCTGGCATACTGGGCCCGTGCTAACTATAGGGAGGGCATACCCCTATGAAACAACCTCAGAGTAGCTTATTATCAAGTAGCATTAGGGTGATTAGGATCTCCAGTAGTAAGTTTACAACTGCAGTATCATTTTGAAGGATAAAAGTCATGTATATGTCAGGTTTAAGATTTCTTGTATCTTTGCTGTGAAGGTGTTCTTATTATTATGCCAACCTATATAGTTTAATTGTGTATTATCAATTAAGTATTATATTTTTTTAGACCTGACAGGCTTCTTAATTTTTTGTCTTTAGAGTTCACTGCACCCAAGAGGAGAAGAAAACACAGAACAAAGAGCCTGGTGTAGAGTACTTAATTTTGAGCTTTCTGACAGAAGAAAAGATGTATATTTTGTGTATTGAACAGGAAGACTGCCAGTATTAAAAATAATTCTGGGAAGCTGTAGGTATTTCTTTGAAATGTCAATACTTTAATATAGTTCTAGAATAAAAGTACAAAAAAATTAGAGTATTACTCTAAAATTTAATTTTAACATCTTTTGTGAAATATGCATAAATGATAAAATTTGGATTTAGAATGTAATAGAAATAATTCTGTTATTTGCAGATTATTGCTATTTCCTACAACTTTTTTGTGCTATTATACTCTCTTAGTACAGTTCTGGAAGTGTTAGCTATTCTATTTAAAATCTTTTTTCTTGAAATATTAATGTTTATTATATGTAAATGGCTAATTATTTTATATCTAGTTTGGTAATGTTTGTTTATGATGTATATTAACTATTTTATATATTACGTTGTTAAGTGCAATAAAGTTTTTGCCTCGTTTGCTTTATTTTTTTAATGTTTGAAACTTATATAGTCAGTAACTTATGTGATTGATAACTTAGGAAGCTCAGTTTCTACTTCTGTAATCAATTAAGTATTCTTTTGTGCTTGTTTTTAAGCTCTCTTTGGCCTAACATGTCTATATGTATACATGTATGTTTGTGTAGGTATAGATATATGTATGTATTTGTCCAGTTATACATATAATATGATTACTCAATACATTGTTTAGGTACAACATTTAAATACTGATTATTTCTAATAAAACCTAATAAAAAAGAGTGGTAATGTACATTTCAGAATGTGTCTGGTACAGAAAGTTGGTACTTAAAGAAAAAAATTCAATAGCTTCATGACTGTGCCTCTCTGTTAATTTATCATTTGAGAGATTTAAACGGAGATTGCTTTAGCCGTGGTGTTTGAATTGCTGCTGATAGCAGACCATCTCACATCATGTGGCCGGCTCAGCCTGTCTTAAAATTGATTAAACTCCATGTTGTTTTCCAGTGTGGTATATTCAGGAATTCTACAAATGCCCCGTGAGTGAAAACGTGTGTAATCTTTTAAAATCAAAAGACTAACACTAGCCCAGACAAAACTTCGCTTATTAGAATCTGTGCTGTCACATTAGCCGTGAAACAAAATTGTTTCCCTTGGCTGTTTCCCTTGTTTTCCTTGACTTCAGATGTTTCTGTTAACAGATAGGGCAGTTTTCATGATGTGGATATTGGGCAGAGCTTCTGGGGTTTAAATATTCTAACATTGGGGTTTAAATATTCTAACATTGTGATCCATTATTGGCCACTTGTATACCAGGTTATTTGCTAGGATTTGTATAAACATTAAAGTTTACAGACATTGTACAGCTAGCACAGTGAGTTGCCCTCTTATTTTTTTCACAACAGCACTTTTAAAAGGTATTTCACTTGTACAGTGAAGAAACTGTACCTCTGGATGGTAAGTGCCTTGTCCACATTCACAGAGTTAGTAATCCATCTGGGGTACAGATACAGGGCTCTGGCCTATAATTTCAGAGTCGTTTTTTGTAAGCCAACAGAGATGGAAATCCAGACTGCAAGAAGTAAAACCCCACTTCAGAATGGCTTAAACAGTAAGGAAAGTTTATCTGAAACCAGTTGAGCCTCCGGTGCGGGGCAGTCTGGGTTATGTAGTACATCAGTTCCATGATGCCTTCATTTACCCAGGTGTGGGTCTTTAGGGAAAGCTTTATATCAGTGTGGAGAACTGTTTACCTGCCAAGTTAGCAGACTCTTGCCTAGGACCAACCTTGCAAAGAAAGCCTTCTTAGGACAGCAGTCTCAGGCCTGCTCTGTTAACTTCTGCACAGTTTCGTTTCATTTTTCACTATTTCAAACAATGCTGCATTGATCTTTGTGTGTATATCTTGTCTCACTCAGGTTGGTATTTCTGTTGGATAAACCTAATGTACACATAAATTTGTTTGTTAAACGCTGTGTGTATATAAAATGTTGTTAATTACTGCCAAATTGAACTTCAAAAAGCCTGCCAGTTTACATTCCTACTAACAGTATTTGCAAGGGACCCTCCATTACGCTGGTTATCAATCTTTGTAATTGTTGACAGTTGAATACAGCCAGGATCTTAAGAGCAGAAAATGTAGAAAATTGACAAAAAGTAACAAAATTGGATTAAGCTGATGTGACTTGCTATATGGTTACATATGACAATGTAGTGCTTTAGCTGATAGCAAATTTTTCATGAATATATTTTGAAGATAGGGTGTGAAGCACTTGATAGATTTGCTTTAGATGTGAAATTGAAGCTTACTGGGCAGAGTTCAAATAGAAAATATTTGTGTTTAACAGTGGATTTTCAGAATTAAAATATGGTGTCCAAATACTGGTTACCTATTAAAGTAAGCTATTTGTATTGTCAACTTGATTATAATAAAATGGCACCAAGTTGTAAATACATGATTTTAATATTAAATATTTATGAAATTAATGTTTTGTGGGAGAAGAGGGGTTGTGGCAGTGGTCATAAACACAAGCTACATTTTAAAACCATACCACTTTACTTTCAGAAATCTTAATATATGAAAGTATTGTTCAGAGTAGAAAACTCATAAATAGTTTTAGTGTTAGATACCAGGTTTACTTGGGGTATCTATAAAAAAAAAAACAATGAATAAAAGAAGTGTAGCCATAAAGAAAATGGAGCTTGTATGGATGCTTATTAGGGGAATATTTTTCACTTGGAAAATAAAATAATTTATTATAGTTTATTTCTTCAGAAGAAAACTACCCTGGAAATGTGCACTTCTCTATAAGAAATCATAGCGTGTTGTCTTTGTTTTCTGGTACTGTTATGAGTTTACGTGGTTGTAAGCTCATCTAAGATCCCATCTGGGTTTATAACCCCTTTCTCTTAATGCCTCAAAGGTTTCCTAACTGTGAGTGGATGTATTTAATGTGAGGAAACATTCCCAGTCTCCTTAACAGTCTGTTAAAGTGCTTGTTCCCTGAAACAGATACAGTTGTACCATCTGCAAATTATTTTGTACTGCCAGAGGAGATACTGAACCAACTTTTAGGCAAAGATTTTTGTCTTCTACAGGGATTTCCAGAACAGTGATAAGACAGGGAAATGCATTAAAAAACTTTATCCAAATGGTTTGAATACTTGTAACTTTCTGACCTAGAAGCTAGAAAGTAAAAAATTTCTATCCTGGTTCTGTCAGTGATTCATTGTGTGTCCTTGAGAAATTCATCTCTTTTTGTCTAAATCCTTTTGTCAGCTGTAAATTCAAGATAATACAGAACCATTTACTGACTTTTCAAAAATATTAAGAACTGCATATTGCTTTAAAAATGCAAAGATATGAATGCTAAACTTCAAAATAATTACAGCTGGAAAGTGTAAGCTTTTAAAAAGTACTTGGATGTCAAGGAAACGAAAGTGATTATTAGTGGTTAATGTGATTTTTGAGGTGATTTTCTTAAGGAGTAATGATTGAAAGCTTGTGTTTACACAGATCCTCAGATTGATGGGAGACAAAGCTCTCATGGTTCAATTGACAAGGAGGATCTGTTTTTATCAAGTTGAATTAGGTACACTATATAGCCTCTTCTAATAACCTATTTCAGTTATGACAAGAAGATTCACACGTATATATAGAGAAAATATATTTAATTGAGGTATCTTTAAAAATGAACTCTATGGGCTGAAAATTACTCTTGCTTTGAGATAAAGAACCTAGGAAAATAAGCAGAGTTATTAATGCTTCCCAACCTACACTTGATTCTTGAATTAAATTACAGTTTGAAGAATGCTTGCTTTTTAAAATGGCATTGAGAAGACTCTGTGGGTGCTTAACTTCTCACTTTTCATTTATCTTTTGAACAACTATGTAGTAATTTTCATTGCACATTGTATAACCCCCTTTTATGTGGTTTTTTTTTTTAATCTATTTATTTATTTATTGGCTGTGTTGGGTCTTCCTTGCTGCGTGTGGGCTTTTCTCTAGTTGCAGCGAGCAGGGGCTACTCTTTGTTGCGGTGTGTGGGCTTCTCACCGCGGTGGCTTCTCTTGTTGCAGAGCACGGACTCTAGGCGCACAGGCTTCAGTAGTTGCAGCACGTGGGCTCAGTAGTTGTGGCTCACGGGCTTTTTTGCTCCGCGGCATGTGGGATCTTCCCGGACCAGGGCTCGAACCCGTGTCCCCTGCGTTGGCAGGTGGACTCCCAACCACTGCGCCACCAAGGAAGCCCCTATGTGGTGTTTCTTATGCTTGAATTATTTGGTTTAATATGCTGTATACGGCGGGTCTGGATTTTTTAAGAACAGTCTGGACAGGATCCTATTTAGCTGCAAGGAACAAAGGCACATTCACGTTATCTTAACTGCCGGAGGCTTATTTTAAGATTACAGAGGACAGGAAGGCGACTGCCTCATCAGAGCCATGGCTGGTAAAATGGTGCTTTGTCTTGTGGGCGCAGCAGCTCTGATAGCTGTGGATGTCCCCTGCTCTGTAGTCGTCATGTGCCTACTTAATGTTTCCCAGCTTCTCCCTTCACATAAAAAAGTGCTTTTCTTACAAGCACTTCAATATGAGGCTTTAAAAAGTCTTATTTAAGATAAATGACAAAAAAGCTTTCATATAATTATCTACAGGTTGATTTCAGATACCTTATCACCATAATACGTAATGAATTGGGCTATGTTAGCTTCAGTTAACTGTTTTCAGTTAACCCACATAATTTGTTGAACTTCATATAGTGTAAATGATTTAACCGAAATGAATTTTGCTAGAGTCTCAAATTTGTTAACTCTTCTGCCTTTGTTAAATGTTTTAAATAGTTGATTAGCTCATAGTTTCCTAGTCTCTTGCAGTATAACTGATACATTGTCTATACTATTATACTTGGTTAACTGAAGGTATTATCTCTGTAAACTTCAACTTGTTGCCTATAAAATTTTCTCAGCAGAAACTAATGGTATTACATTTAAAAATGAAATACCTTGTCCTTTATTTAGAGGCCATATGTCTAGAAAGTCATTCTGTGTATAAAGATTAATCAACCAATCGAAAGACATAGCTTATTTTCTTTAGTGTTACCATTGACACCCGACAAAATATTGAATTACCGAGTTTTAGGCTCCGGGAGGTAGTGCCCCGGAAGCGGGGGAACGCGGAAGAGGCCGAGGCCGGCGCGGAGGAGTCTGGCCCGGAAGAGTACCACCCGGAGGAGCCCCGCTCCGGGCAGGAGATAGAGGCAGGGCGGCCGCGGCCGATGCTGCGCTCAGTGAACACGCGCGAGCCGTCCCAGGTCATCTTCTACAACCGCAGCCCGCGCGTGGTGCTGCCCGTGTGGCTCAACTTCGATGGCGAGGTGCAGCCCTACCTGACGCTGCCCCCCAGCATGGGCCGCCGAATCCATAGCTACCGGGGTCATCTTTGGGTCTTCCTAGCTGCTGGGACATCTGATGGGCTTCTAGGTAACCAAACCGAGCTGTTTGTGCCGTCTCTCAATGTTGATGGACAGCCTATTTTTGCAAACATCACACTACCAGTGTACACCCTGAAAGAGTGGTGCCTCCAGGTTGTGCGAAGCCTAGTCAAGCCTGAGGATTACAGGAGACTGGACATTGTGAGATCCCTCTACGAAGATTTGGAGGACCACCCAAATGTGTGGAAGGACCTGGAGCGGTTGCCCCAGGAGCATATTGAAAATCAGTGGATGGCAGAGGAGACTGAAGATTTTAATTGAAATTTACACTCCTGGATCTCGGCTTTTGACAGTCCTGACAAGTCTTGATCTAGATCTAGGGCTGGTCACTTTTTCTCGGCTTCAAAGTGTCTCATTCTTGGAGTAAAAATGCTCCATTGCTTAAAAGAAAGTTAACTGACCTCACTACTGGGCACTGTGATGTTTAAGGGCAAATATCACAAAATGTAATTTAATGCCTGTCCCTTCTAGAAGTATTTATCAAGGGAAAGTAGTTGCATTTTTGCCTCCTAGTGAGTCAGGAAAGTTTCTGTGTAAGGACTTTTTGTAAATAATTCAGTGAGAATTGTAGCTTATTCTTGAGTTGTAGGAAAGCAGTGGCGTCTGCTTTTCATTCCTGTATCATGGTTGGTGATGTGCCCGCGTCCCGCTCTGAGAGACCAAGATGTCCTTGGGGCAGGGGCATATCCGTCTGCCCTTTGACGCTCCAGTACCTCGCACGTTATGAGCCTTCCCTCAGTGTTTGTTGAATGAACATACCAGTGGCTACTTTGGTAGAAAGTATTAGAGGTTTTCACCCTGTTTTTTGAGGACGGGTGGTAGTGGGGACCTTAAAGTATATACAGTAAACGAATGTTTTCAAGGGCATCAATTTTATAGAAAGCAATTTTTATAATTTTCTAAATCGTGTCTTTTCTCTGTCCACTGTTGTTGCAGGGCTGTTTTATTTCTGTTTCTAAGCCAGGATTGGCTTTCCACAGTTCTTATTGATGATAGCTTTTTTGAAACTTGCTATCTGCACATAAGATAGGAGAAAATAGCCGTCCCCTTGTTTAATCATAGTATTAAAGAGCTACTCCTGTACTATAAATAGGTTTTTGCCAAATGTGGGTACTTCTGTTCCTTTTTGTAAATCCATGACATTTTTGTTCGATTCAGCAGGTTTTCATCAGGCAGGATCTGGTGCCACTTTGCACCTGGCTGGAGGAGAGGACAAAGCCCTCCAGCCTCTCGGAAGTTACTGCTAACACACTGTGGATTTGGAGGGTAGCCTGGAATGTTTTCTAATTTTATACATGTACAGATCCTTTCCTATAGGCTGGACTTAAATTCATTAACTCAAATTCAGTACTTCTATCAGGCATCCTTTTTTGGTAGCTAATCATTAAAAAAAACAAAAAACAAAACTCCCCAGTAGAGAAAGTGTTGGAAGAGACAAAAATAAAGGAAGAGAAAAGATCCAATTAGGTACACTACTTAAATACAACCACTAACTTAACATTTTGAACTTTTAGCCTTTTTTTTGCTTGGTTTTACGTAGTTGAGATCATACTGAGTATAAGTTTTGTATTCTACTTTCTCATTTAACTTTATAACTTAAATATTTTTCCATGGTATTATAAGCTCTTCATAGACATGAGTGCAGCCTTCCTTTTATAAATAATGTTGGGATATTTCTTGGCATCCTTATTAGTTCCTTTGAGCACAGTTCCTGTGCTCTTATATCAGAGTGAAGTGAATGAATCAAACGCCTTACAGTTTTCCCACCTAATCTTATTCTCCTCTTTCAACATTCAACAAATAAGTGGGCTTTTTTTTTTCTTTAGCCTGTTGTGGTACTCATTCAGTGACACATCTATAATTTTTTTTTATCTAATTTTTTTGTCGAATTGTTGGGTAGGGAAGAAGAAATGCTGGTATAGAAGGCAGCCATATGATTTCAAAAGTGGGATAGGATGGAAGATTTAAGGAAGCCTTCTGGTGCTCGATTAGTTCAGTGTTGGTTTTATTATTTTTTAAACCTGTCTTTGTGTCAAAATGAGATTTCATGTTCCTGTCAAAACTTGCAATATGAGTACTGTGTTTTTTGTGTTGTCCAAGGAAGATTGAAAGCCTATAGCATGTATGCACTCATTTGAAATCTTATGAATGTATTAAATGTATTGCTTTTAAGAGACTGTGATCTTATCTATTTTGAGTTTAAAAAAAAAGCTTTTTTGGATACATTAAATGGTCCTAAGTAAAGGAAAAAAAAATTGAATTACCAACAAAATTACCCATATACCTACTGTACCAGTAAATAACTCTATTAGCTTTCTTTCTGAAAATCCCTTATATTTACAAGTATAATTCATTCACAAAACTGCACTCCACATAATTGGGACTTAATGCTTCAGCGAAGAAAATGAAAAATGTAGCCTGTCTCCTCAGGGCTGTATAGTCAGATATCTCTTTGTCCTTTGGTGGATTTACACACTTTCTGACATCAAGTTTTGATCAAATGAAGAGAGTATCTCCAGCGATTTGTACAGTCTGGGTGACTACATGAAATAAAACCAGTGAGGCATGGCCTTCCAGGCAGGCCTCTTTACGCTGGAATTCTTGGTGCCAAGGGGAGCTAAGTCCTAGCCAGGCCATGGCTCCATCCACTGAGTTTTAAATTTTCACTTTGTTTTTTCATTTCTGAGAGTTTTATTTATATCTGCCTAGATATTTTTGATATTTTCTCATTCTTTGATCAGTTTTTTAAGTTCATCATTTATTTCATGAGATATTTCAAACATAATTATTTTACATTCTGTACTTGATAATTTCAATATCTGAAATTGAACAAAGCAGTCTATTATTTGTTGTTTCTGCTAACTCTCTCTCTCATGGTTGGTTCTATCCTTGCTGTATTTGGTAATTTTCATTTGGAGGTCATATTTTTCTTGAATTTAACACGTGGGAGCTGGTGGGCCTAATTTGGGATGCTTCCCTTTAAAGGGGACTTACGTTTGCTGTTTTTTGCTGGCTTTTAGGGTTTGTGCTTTGGGAGAAACAACAGCTACAATGAAGGAACATAAATAGTACCAGAGATGCAGTTTCAAAGAATGACAATAAAGGTTAGCTGGGAGTAGGTATTTGACAGTTCTTATTTAATATCGTTTATCAGAGTTGCAAACTAGAATGTACCAGCCATTAGCATCAAAAGCCTTAAAGTTGTTGTGACCCTCTTATACATGATTCTTGTAGCTTCAGTTTCCTTTCTCCTGCAAGAGGTGACAAAACATGGGACTCTAGAATGTGTGAGGAAGTGCAGACATTAGGTATAAGGAAAAGCATTTGCATGCTGTCTGTCCAGGCTTCTTCCTATTCTGCAAGGGCTGGTGAGTCTTGGGTATGTTTATCTTTATTCTCACGTTTGTGTTTTTTAGAAAAGTGAATGATCAATAAATGATTTAAGTTTTATAGTTTTAAAAAATGTCAGGAACACTACTGTGAGCCAGGAATAGTAATAATCTGGTACCTCTAAAATCCCTGGAGTCTCAAGTTTGGGCTCAAAGTTTGGGTTCTTGATTGCAAGAGTTAGCAGTTCAACTCTGCTTCACTGGTCTCTATCCCACTTGCTTACGACTTACTGCCACTGCTCTAATTTTAGCCCATTGTTTTCATCTTCCCCTTGGAAATTTTCCTTACTTTTTAGTGAGCACAGGAATGTATGAATAATTATTTTTATAGTAATTTATTTGGGAAGAGTTAGAATAGCCTTTGAAAGTAGCTGATCTGTCATACTGCCAGAAGTGGGAGTCCCAGGAGTTATTAATTTATCATCACTTTAGAGAAGAGGAAACAAAGGCACAAAGATGTTAAGTAACTTGCCCAAGATCACAGAGCTGCCGAGTGATAAAGCCATTGTTGGAACCCACGTGGTCTGGCTCCAGAACCTACGCTTTAACCACCACATATGAGTCTGAATCTCAGGGGAGATTGCACACATATTACAAAGAATTGGTTGTTGAGACCATGAGAGATGATAGGATACCAAGGGAATGTGGAGGATAGAGCAATGAACTGAGGGTGGAGCACCAATATAAGGAAAATTTGAGGGGAAGAGGACCTTGGAGAAGAACTATTGATAACGATATGAAATGCAGGAGGAAGTGTAAGAAAACAAAGTGTCACACAAGTTGAGGGAATAGAATTTCAAGGAGGGAGTGGAAAGTTAGTCATCATAGGCAGCAGTATGATACGATAAAGACCAAAAATTATCCTTTTGAGTTTGGCAATTAGAAAGTCACTGTCTTTATTGAGGGTGCTATAGACTGAATGTTGAATGTTTCTGTCCCCACAAAATTCATGTTAAAACTTAATCCCCAACGTGATGGTATTTGGAGGTGGGTGGGGCCTTTGGGAGGTGATTAGTCATGAGAGTGGAGCTCTCATGAATGAGATTAGTGCCCTTATAAAAGAGGCCCCAGTGAGTTCTTATTCCCTTTCCTCTCTGTGAGGACACATGTGAGAAGATGGCCCTCTGTGAACCAGGAAGCAAGTTCTCATCAGACACTGAATGTGCCATTGCCTTGATCTTGGAACCACCAGCCTCCAGAACTGTGAGAAATAAATGCTTGTATTTTAAGGCACCAAGTTTATGGCAGTCTGAATGCATTAAGACAGAGGGTGAATTTTTTTTTTTTTTCAGAGGGTGAATTTTAGTAGTGTATCGAGGATTAAATTGGAAGTGATGCACTGTGGATGGATCACTCTTTTCAGAAGTTTGCTTGAGGAGAGAAACTGGATGGTTTGGTGAGAGGGAAGCACAAGATCAAGAGGTCAAGATGTTTAAAGGTTTAGAAAATAGAACTAAGGAGAATGAGATAAAAATGAGTTACTAAAACCATAAATTTTATTCTACCTTGAAATATATTATTATAGCAGATCAATGTTTTAAAACTTAGTTACATTTCCCCTTACACTTATCCAGCTCTGTTTTCTTATATCAAATGGAAAAAATATTAAATACTCAGAGGTAAAGTGAAGTGGGTATTTTATTTCCTGACAGCCATACTTCCCTCCTTGTCCAAGAGTTATTCCTTAAATAAAACACAGATTTGAAAAATTATATCTTGTTATTTTAGCTAAAACAAACAAGTATTTTGACAGAGAATCGAAGTTACTTAGCTTGGAGGCAAGAAAGCAACTATGTGGCCCCATAACTCTTGGAGCTTTTTATTATGATATGAAGAATTAATTATTGAGAATTGTGATCAGTTCTTATCTTTATGAAGGATAAAAAGAAGGAATGGACTTCATTTTTAAACAGAGGTATTTAGATCTAAATAAGAGCCATTTATTAAACAAGTTTTTTTGTTTTTGTTTTTTTTGTTTGTGGCACACGGGCCTCTCACTGTTGTGGCCTCTCCCGTTGAGGAGCAACAGGCTCCGGACGCGCAGGCTCAGTGGCCACGGCTCACGGGCCCAGCCGCTCCGTGGCATGTGGGATTTTCCCAGACCGGGCCACGAACCCGTGTCGCCACCAGGGAAGCCCTATTGAACAAGTTTGTTAGCACTGCCTTTGTTTCTTAGTGGCTGATCTCTCAGCATTTAGTAGCTTATCAATACCTCCACTCTCCATTGTCAGAGAAGACCAAAGCGGAAACTCCCGGGTCTGAAGTTCCAGGTCTCCAGGCAGTTTTATTACCCTGTGAGAAAACTCTTACTTGGGTCAAATGTTCTCCAATTTTAGGTTGTGTTGGAAACACCTGGGGAGCTCATTTAATATGCATGTTCCAGGGTCCCACTGCTACAGCTTCTGATCCAGTAAGTGCTGGTTGGAGTCTGAGAATATGCATTTTTAGCAAGTTCTTGGGGTGATTCTAGACCCGTTGCGCTGAGGCC